GGCAGCCTTGTTTGGAATTGTTTCCCTCTCTGCATTTCAATGCTTGAGGCCTTTCCAGACTGTGTTCTCTAAAGAGCATTTGAATAGAGAGTCTGCACAACACAGCAGGCACCAGGCAGGCAGACATGTCTCTAACTCTGCTGTTCTTCCCCAAGTTGCAGTTGTCACAGCTCTGTACAAGGCTAATTGTACTGAATTTCAATGGCAGATTTGGGCCATGTTCAGTTATTTTGAAATCAGTTCTATTTGCTGTAAGGTTTCCCAATTTATATTTCATGCTTATATATGTCAGCCCTCACGCTGTGCAAAACACGTTAGTACTTTCCTTACAATTTATTATATAAATTATGGTATAGAATTTCATGGCACCTTTGATACGAACATCTAAACATGTTTCAAAACCACTACTATGCCTCATTAAGACTGTGGGGCTTTTTAAACTCATTTGAGAGATGATTAAACTAAGCTTCAGAATATTCATGGCATTTTGCTAAAAAATTGCTTATAAGTTTTAAGTGAGGATTTGGAAATAGAACCTAAATTCTTATTCACATTTCTGTCCAGAAATACCATGGTATTATACTAGACTGAGGCACTGATCAGAGGTTCAACATGGATCACGTTCAATGCCATTGCTTTTCAACATTTCATTTCTACCATCAAAGTCAAACATGAAAAATATACATTCATTTTCATGAGAGAACCAGCTATAATGAATTACTTGTCACTCAATCAAATACATATTTAAATCAACAAGAGTACAGAGTTTTCATAGGAAGTGTTTATATCATTTCCCAATCAAAGCAGCTCGGCGCTGTTAACACTATGGCAGCTGCGCTTTCAGTATGTGTATTTTTCATGTTTACTTAATAAAATATCATCCTAGTCTTCAAGTCCTATATGTGCATTCACAATTCAATTATATGGCCATTTTGTTATAAAAATTAGATGTAGACATATATTTTTGCTTTACTGAAGAGCAAATAATGTGTTTTAATAAAGGCCCACTGTCTATCACTAGGATTTTAGTTCAGAAATGTTCAATGTCCCAATCAGTCAAACTGAATTTAATTTAGACATCTAACTCCCTCAGGACAGGTTGGAAAATGTCAGCCTAAAATAGCATGTGCTTGAGTACAACAAACTAGAAAGGCACTTCTGATGTATATATCTGCATGTACAAACAAATGTCACAAACAGAGTATATCAGAGTAGCAACTAACCCCTTCTTCACAGAGCTGAACTGCCATTCACACTCTTTAACTATGAGGAGGTGCAGGAGCAATACTTCTCTCCACTTGCGTAGCACCTGAATAAAATGAGAGAAAGAGCTCCTTAACTTCACCAGGTAGTGACAAGTGATCATAGGAAAGATTAAAATAGCTACCACTGAGGTACCAGTTACAGACTGGCCCAAATGCCAAGGGTTTAGAAAGTGAGCTAATGCTCTAAACAAGAACGTACATATTGGGTAACTTAAGAGTCAAGAACAGAATTTAATGCTAGTCAGTAACACAAACACAGAAGGCAGTACCAATTCAATTACTTGCTTTTGAATAGGACCAAGGTAGATGCTTCTTAGCTTCATTTTCAGTTAGGAAAATAGGATCTCAGGTGTACATGCAGAAATAATTTAGTTTTGTAATTCTGCAAATTTACTGCAGAAGCTACACATACCTTTTTCAAAGTGTAGACAATTAGTCATTACCTCTCCACTGTGTTAAACCTCCCCTGGAAGCAAGTGAAAAGCTTGTCTGTGCTATTGCCATGAACAAGAGGAGGTTCTTGAATATACTGTGCCCATTTAAATGCACTGGGAGAGTGCTTCCACAGTGGAATACATTCACAAGTCTACATTTCCTTTGTTAGCCACAATTTCCTTCTTCTGCCATTACTAATAGAGACCCTGCCTTTTTTCATATTCTGTATTTTTGCAAATACTAACACAGGGAATCAACGGGCTTTAGGGACAAAAATTCTTACACATGCATTTGAATTACATTTAAGGAGAATAACTACAGTGCCAAACTAAAATTCATGGAATACAATCGCAAACTCCCCACTCTAGGTAGCAGACAGAGAAGATTTGGGTTTGTAATAAGTGGGAATTATTTTCGTCTTCTTTCATAACAAAAATTAGTTTTTGTTCTGAAAAACTATTTTTTTTCTGCCCATCAGTTCTTGAATGTTTCTGTCACCGTTTCACCCAGAGTGAGCAACTGCACTGCTGAAAGAAGGGCCAGGAATTAGAATGACCACATACAGGGATCTTAGCCCAGAAGTAACCAAGACAGAGGGGCGCCTGGAAGTGACAAAGCGTGTAAAAGGGCACTCAAATACAACACACATGAAACCTAAGCAGGTACAACCGTTTGCTGAAGAGTTGGCAGTGTTATAAAGTTGCCTTTCAGATAGGCAATTTATACCCTGGCAGATCTTATTCTGGCTGACTCTTTGCAATGAACCAGGGTTCTTCATCTCGGCAACAGGAACTTGGCTCATCCAAATCATCCACAGAACTAGGGAAGTGCGAAAGCAAGCAGTGAAGATATATCCCATATTTGTAGTTGCTGCTGACTGATTCTGCTGGAGAATCTGATGCTGGCATCTGCACTCCATAGCTCATGGAAAAAGTTACGCTTTTCAGCTCTGCTATGTAGTATTAATCTGTAGCTAACTTGATTCTTACCCTGTCAGCACTCCTGAAAACTTTGCTCTTGTAGGAGGCAAGTACTCTTCTCCTTAAGGAACACTGGATTTATCATGATCTCTGCTAACTTCCCTGCTTTCCCCTGCTAGAATCATGGCATGGGGGCAACAAGCAAGCATCAGAACATTAATGTAACAAGACTAAGAGACACCAGGTTCCTGCGAGAGCAGCATAAAAGGCTGTTCACCTGCTCAGATCCAGAGCTCACAGCCAGCTATGCACTTGCAATAGGAATTTAACCAATACCTATTTCACTCTAAGCCAACACTGACACTCATGTTTGAACTGTAGAAGGTGAAGAAGTTGCACATGTCCCCTTCTGTTGTCCTTGAAACAACACTAATTGTTGGCAGGTAACTGGGGGCAATAATTTCAAGTGACAGAGCCCGTCTGCCAGAGCCCTCCTATACTCTTGGGAATCTGGCTGGTGGCTCACGGGCACCGATAATGGGAGGTTCCCCCCCTCTGCTTTTGCCAGCAGGAAGTGTTTTATTTATGATACCACAAAATAATTGCTCTGTTTCAAGACAAAAGAGCAGGAGTCATCACTGCTTGCTTTCCAAAAATAATATTTTCCATACTATTCACTGAAAACAAGTCCCAGAAGGGAGGCAGCAGGTTACATTGCTATGGGTTTGATGATGCCTTGCATGAAGTAAATGTTCCACTTACTATTTACTTTAATGATGGGGGATCAGGGTGCAACTATCAGCCATTCTTTGCAAATCATACCACATTCAAATCATTGCTTAGAAACATGCTGTTGCTTCTGCCCTCAACTCCACTAAACTGAAAGGTATTCTGCCAGAATAAGAGGGGGATCATTCGATATATAAAATGGCCTGCCAGCAACTGGTTTACATGAAACAATTTTACTATAATTTAGCAACTCAGTGGAATGATTTTAGTAATTCTGGAAACTCTGTACATTTCCAGAGAAGGGAAGACTAATACGTTTATTAAGAACACTAGGGTTTTGTTCTGACACAGAACTAGCTCCACTGAGGAATGCTAGTACAAGTTTTACTTTTTGTTTTTCCCTAGTTTTACTGTACACTTCAAGTGAATTTCTGTGCTTCAAAGGAGGTTAAACTATTTTCAGCTACAAGTAAGCAAAACCATATTTGGTGTCCCATAAACAGCAGATTTCCAATTTAGGCTTTATAACACCAGTTCAACTTATTGCTATTTAGTCTTAATTGAACCATGGTGTAAAATAAGATGTACAGTTAATTATTAAAGAAAAAAATGGGCTGTGTTACATTTCTTTTAAAGAATTAACACACTGTTTTCTATTTTTATTGTCTTTCTTAAAAAAAAAGCTAAGAAATTAGCTTGATTGTCCTCTCCTCTTTGGCAAGTTCAGTACTGAAAGTAACAACCACTCTTAGAAACATTTCCTATACAAAATGAAAGTAGCTTGTTGGATTTTATGAAAGTGCAATCTTTTACTTTATTTCAAAAGCATCTGCAGCGGTCTAAGAGGTATTATGGCTCACTTAAGAATACACAACACTACAGTAACGATTTTTTTTTCCACATTACATTGCCCAGAAGCTGCTCTTTTCCTTCTGCAGGAAATTCCTATTACTCTACCCAGAAGTGTGCTGTTACTGGTCTAATAGGAAGATGTTTATTAAACTTGACCAAATTCTAGAGAAAGATTTTTTTTCAATGAGAAAAAAAATGTGCAGACTGTTCCTTTTTAACAACTAATCTGATGCTGAGTAGCAAAATTTAATGAAAAGATGAAACTTGCAAAGCTGAATTCAAGCCAACAAAAGTTGGCCAATTCAGGATTCAAAAAGCAAAGCCGGTAGTCTGTTAGCATAGGCTGTTTTTGTGGACTGTTTTAACTGTCCGTTCTGCATTCTAAAGGCAGCTGCAGGGGTAGTTTCCAGCATAGCTGTCTGGAAACCATTTCAATAGAAGTTTTTCCAGATGCAGGCCTGAGTGTGCCAAACAGTCTGGCTCTTCAGTATAAAAAGCAAATTAGAAGTTGGGACTATAGTGCTTTTGCAGTAAGCAGCTTTAATCAATGCTCAGCTCAAAGACCCGGCCTGCACTGAAAAATTAGAATGGTTCCACAGGGCTTAATTTGGAGAGAGATACAAAAATGTGTCAAAGCCTTCTCCTCCCTCCCCCTCCCCCCCCCAGTTTTTCTGTTTTCCTCCCAGTAATATTAATTGTCTAATAGTCTATATAAAATTACAGGGATTTCTACAGAGGCCTCATAAAGTTGATTTAATACCCGTAATACATTTTAAAATACCCACTAATGCCGTATGTTATTTACCCTCAACACAAGGAAGGGATAGATTACCAGCCTTATCCTCTTCCTACTTTCTCTCAGCCCGTCTCCAAATCACCGCAGGATCCTTACGTGTACATTCTACCATGCACAGTCCTAATGATGAAAAACCATCTTTTTTTCAGCTGTAGTGCCAGTTATCAGATATGAATGTCCACCTCTGCATCTGCCTCTCAGAGTTCATGAAGGTACTTGCAAATCATTTGTTTTTAATATACTGAGTGTTGAAATTAAATCTTGATGTTTAGAGCTAGTGGGCTTGAAAGCATTCAGATTTCCTCCCACTACAGGAACAAGACCTACCTTTGTATGAAGCATCACTGGCATTTGAAAAGTGCATCTCTGAAAACTTGTACATTCGTGTCTAACTGCAAAAGTAAAGACTAAAACTTTAGAGTATTGCATTTAAAACCAACCATAAAACTAGTTAATAAAATTTCTTGTGGTATTTGCTGAAAATTTGGTTGAGGCAGGCTCTGCTTAAATAGCACCACATTATCTTTTTCTGTGGGTACAATAGCGTTCAGCAGGAAAGCATCAAGCAAGTGAGAATAAATATTACCCGTCTCATCAGCGATTTCTTTATAAAACCCTAATGCTAATTTCTAGAGCTCTGGTGCAAGAGCAGTTTCCTTGGCCTCAAAAAAATACACACACCTTTGGCCAAGCTCTCACCAAAACCTCTTGCTGAAAAGAACCTGGGCTGCGCTAGCAATGATAGCTAAGTAACAACCAGTGTTTATGTAAGTGTTCACCACTGTATAGTCAAAGCCATCTACAATAAATACACTTCCCAGTAATGTGATAGCAAATACATTATCTTATTCACATTTCTGCCTCAGTGCACAGCTCATTGCCAGAGGCAATGTCTCTATGAAAGCAGAGGGATTTAATGAAATTAACCATATTATTATTTAGTTTGACTGTCACAGGACTATTATTCAGAGTGATACTATTTTTTCAGTACATCTGTATATACTTGTGAAAAATAGATGTATCTGGGTTCTCCTTATCAGTTTACTCCAGTGAGAGTCTAAGAAATTTGTATCATTGAATTAAGCATTGTACTTCCTTTACTTACAACTCTCATTTGGCACCCACAATAAAAAAAAGGATTGATAGCAATTCAAGGAACTGCTGACATTCAGAGTGAGTTTTTAATTAGAACTCTTCTTGGCTTAGCATCTTTTTGCATCTTGTTAGAATCTAAGTTCCTTTGCACTTCTCAGAGATATTTAGGTACAAGAGTCACACAAACGCCTGATGGAAAAGACAGATGAGTCAAACTGTTGGAATGCTCCCAGGGCAGCAGTTCAGACTGCTAGCTCTTCAGACTTTTTCCTCTTCTAAATGTCAGATGTGTCACCAATTTAACAGCCATTGCCTGAAGAGATTTGATTATGTGCCACTGTCACCCCTCTTGATTAATCAAAGCACCAAGTGAAAAGTAAGAATATGTTCTCTTTCACTTTTATTTCTAACTCACAGGAGGAAAATCAGTAACTCCTTTGCTTAAGTAATAAAAGCAAATAGTGTCAGATGTGGTCAGAGTATCTCATGGTTTTTACAGGATGATGCAATAAATGAAAGAAACAAAAATTATGGAGAAAAATAACCAAGTTTCCAAGTACAAAGAGAATTTGCCTTTTTATAGAGTTGTATGAAATAACTGGCTATCTTGCAGGTATACACTTTCTACAACACTAAATTAGAATGGCAAAGAACATTGACCTGAAAATAAACCATAACCTGTATCTCCCTGCCTGTTTTTCAGGGCCACAAAAAAGCTCAGAAAACAAAGATCAACATAGACCAACACACTGAATCATCAACCCACCATGAGTCTTCTTTTGACAGGTAAACATATTTGTTTCACAAGCATATTCCTTATATTGTCTTTTCAGGATATTAGTCACTGTTGTTTAATTTCCTTAAGTAAAAAAGGAAAACTCAGTGAAATGCAGTACCAAAAGTAAAATAAAGTTAAAATCCAGGCAGCCATATCTGCTTGTGGACTACAAATCAATTTAAGTTCTTGTATACATCTAGATTTTAGTTTTCTAATCTATTCAAGGTAAACGTTTTACTGTAGAATGAATCACAGTAGAAATCTTAGCCTGTCAGAAGCATTTTCATTAAAATATATAGCTTTTCCTATGAGGTTTAAAAAACCCAAAGCAAATTCTAGCCAGTATGTTAGATTTCAGTGTCCCTTAACTTTCTTACTTGAAAAAGGGTCTGTAGGTGAACAAAATAGGCTTGATGCCAGCTGTAAATTTCTGCCACACCAACTTCACATCGCGATTTGGAAATTAAACCCAAAAGCAATACTAGTGGTTTGTAATAACCTAATAGATGGAGATAACATCTTTCAAAAACCAGAGGTTTTCCTAGCTTAAGAGAAGCTTATTCTTGTTTATTGGGCACATTTTTGCCTACTTTGCTCACATTTGGTTGCAGGGACACATCATGAAAAAAGATTTACCTTTGAAAAACCTGTAGTATGACTAAATACCCTTTTTCCCCCCATTTATTTTTAAGCACTCCTTTCTAGAATTTAACATTGAGAGTCCCCCATATTTTCATTAAAATGTTATCACAACTGACAAGTGTGTCAAACCCAGGAAAACTGAGGGAAAAAAATCTTCAACGGTATATTAAACACCAACCCACTGCAAGTCCCATTCCTTACTATTCAGAGACACGCTTCAAGTTTCAGAGAAATCAGATCTTCACCACAGATAGATTAAGCAGCAATACTACTCCACTTAGTAGATGAAGGCTGAAAACATATTTTTCTGACAGAGGCCAGTTTCAGTGGAAACTATTTCACTGATCATTTAACCATCCTCAGAATATGCTGTGATTTAGTAGCTTCAGATAGTGTTTTTCCCTATTCTGCGAGAAATGGAGAACTGTTTTTCCTTAGTGTATTAAAAATAGATGATCTCTTCAGAAAGTCTCACTCTTTCACACACACAAAAAAACTGATTATGACCCATTTCTTTGATCAAGAGAAAACTGTGTTAAAGTCTTCATATGACTGATTCTTCATTGCAGATAAACTATGTGATTAAAAGGAAAAATAAACTTCCCAATAGAGATAGGTACCATTTTTTAAAAATATATCCTTTTCCATTAAATGTCTAAACATGCATGAAAAGCTTTGCTAAAAAATGGTAAAAGTAAAGACTTACCTTGGTCAAATCTCAGGATCCAAGGATGACTGATGCTGGCAACTCCAGGAGTTCACCTTCTGGTTGTTTTATACTATGCCTCTCCCACTACCTGCTGTTGAACCACTACTTGTCCACCCATGTTGTATGTAGTTGCAATAATGATTAAGCTATATTTTGCCATCATTTCTATTATCAAAGTGAAAGAGGTAAGTCTTTGTCAGAATGAAAAATTGCATTCATTCTTTGAACCAAAATTAACTCATCAGTCTGAGAGCCCTTAGAGCAAGATACTTACAGACATGAAGTGCTTTCTCTTTGTCAATGCAGCCTTAAAAACATTAGACAGGAAGAAAGAGAAACGTCTGCACTGATTTTGATTGTTTAATACTCAAGAGTGAAAAAGTGTAAAATCACAAAGCTTATACCACCACAAAAATGCAGGTTCATTGCAAATGACCAAAACACAAGCTGCCTGCAAAGTTTCACACAGCTGACATCAACAAACCAGTTTCAACATTCTTACCGTCTTTTTAAACACCTGCTATTCACAAACATCAGTCAATCCAGAATTCTCTCTTTCACACATCTTTCTTTATATTCTATGCTAATATTTGCTTTCTAGACCAGTGGTTTACACATTTGGAAAACAGTGCCCCACTTCTGATCTATATTGGCATATAAATATATAGTTGATATTTATATTTTCAAATTACTAATTATATTTTTAAAGCATTTTGTTTAATCCAAACTGAGCAGTAAAGTTCTTATTTGTATTTAATGAAAGGCACAACTTACATGACAAAGCTTCAGAAGTGCATGCTGACCGAGGGTATATCAGCCACAGGTTATAATACTGATGCAGAAAGTCATTGTACAAGGTGAGTTAGTATATCAGACAAGTAAGTCATGTTTACTCTTACTAGTCATGCATGTGCCTACAGCCCTGCTTCTGCAAATGCAACCATCAGGCCTGAAGGATGCAACTGTCCACCTAACTACACTTTGTTGCCTGAAGGTAACATTATCCAAAAGCTATCATTATGTCAAAACATCTCAGGTTAATGGGCTGCTTACACAAACATTTTTAAAACTTAAGCCCTTTTTGCAAGGGATATCTTTGTCTTCACAGCCTGAAAGTATTCATGCAATGGAACTGTGCATATCTTTAAATGTCATGCTAATGCACATTTCCTGTACAATAACTTTCCAACAGTTAATAAAAACCTGATCTTAAATAGAACTAAAGTACACAGAACAATTTTTCCCCTCCAGACATTCAAAATATAACTTGGTATAACGTACTACCTCTGATACTGATGTGTAAAGGAATTTTTAGAGAGATGTTGTGGCCTCACTAGAAACAATACTGATTTATTTTGGGTTTTTTTCCCTCCTCCTTCAATTGTAAGTCCATCTACCTTCTGTGATTCACTTGTTCCTTACTGTTTATTCCTTCACCTGACATTGTAATTTTCTGAGCAGGTGAAAATAAACAGAAGAGGTTTGGTATAATTATTCCTATGGAGCATGTCAGTCAAAGATACCACAAGGTATCAATAACAAGGTTTGACCTTTTAAGTAGCTTCTTGATGGTTACAAAATACATTTTCTGCAGATATTCTTCTATCTGTTTTGAAGAGGAAGAATAAATTTCAGCTAAGAATAAAACTTCAAGAAAACTAATGCTGATTTTTAACTCTTGCTTATTACAGACCTTCCTTCACCCTTTACACAATTATTTAATACTTGAAGCACAGAATCTGATTGCTTCCAGTTAGGCATCTAGCTGGAAAATTCTGACTTATACACAATTATTAAAATAGATGTGACCATCTTTAAAATCATAGGGTCAGCTAAGGAAACAGAAGTATAGGATGATACTAGAAATATTACAATTAATAACACCCTATTTATAAATGGAAGCACATTTTTTTGAGCACATATGAATAATTTTGAATAAACAGTATCCATTCCACATTGAAAAGCATCACTGAGCTCAGCATACATGCCTGTAGTGCTTCTACACAACTCCGTTTCCTGTTCATTTTCCAGCTCTTAGTTACGTTTCCAATTTCAACAAATGATTTCATATGACATGATCGAAAAACATCCAATCCTGAGTACACTGGTACTCACACAAACAAAAGAAGGAAAACAGACAAAAGTTTGCAGCACAGACAAGCCTTAAGAGTTAATCTTTGGCACATTAATAGTTTTATACCGTTTCAAACTTAGTAACGAAGGCACACAATTAAACTGTCCCATGTCTGAAACAGCATATGTCAGTCAGCATGGAGCTTCTCTTCAGCTTTGCATTTACATTCATATTATAAAGCAGCAGTCAGTTTTGAAAAACCTAGCTTCTGTTAATAGTAAGGAATCTGAAAAGTGACTAGACATGGCAGAGTAAGATAGTATAACTGGATTCTAATACAGCACACACAAAACTATTCCTACGTAACCACAGGAAAAAAACCCTAATCTGAGTCAGCAACCACCGGCCTGGCACGCCACAGCCATCCGGATACAGGTGTGCTTCTGCTCTGCAGAGAAGGTGTGAGAGGGTGAGCAAGTGAATGTGCGTGTGTGTGTGCACGTAAAAATAGCAGCTTCTCATTTGTGGATCCTGTTTCTCCTCTGTGTCCAGTATGGTATCTTCTTACCCCAGTAACAAAAATATTTTGGCTGCTATTTTTTGCTTCTGCTAGCACTGCACAGTGTAGTACAGTTAGTGGTGTTGGTTTCTGATCTGGACTTTGAAGTCACTGAATTATAAAGTTAAACTATGTCCTTCATTTAACCAATGTGCAATCCACATGAAATTAGCTTATTTTCAAATTATTTAAGTAGAAACTTTGCCCTGAAGCAAATGTTGTCACCAGAAAAAAAAGAAAAAAAAAAAGAAGAAAAAAAGGGAAACTCCAATCTCAGGTTGGATTTGCATGGCTAGCAATTGAAAAGGGCATCTTCTCATTTGTAAACAAAGAAAGGACTGTGTGGGAAGGCCTCCACACACCATGATCCTAAGTGTCATCAATGCCATTTTTACAAGTTTTCAGGTTCTTTTTACAAGAACAGAACACGTATCAGCTAATTTCACTGTGTGAAGAAATTAGGCATTATGTAATGCTTGACTTCATGCTTACCTTTAGCAATACCTAGTATCAAGGTAACCCATGTACTGTAAAATAAGTTGATGTTATTCATGTCATAGCCACTGAAGTTACTTCAGTGGATATACTATCCAGCCTATTTTTATCATTTCTTTCCTTTTAATGATACTAAAATGTACTACTTTCTAACCATAAAAATCACTATTTCTCACAAGGAATACTGTGAGGAATCCTTGCTTCAATGTTCTGTCTTTTTCACTGCATTCTTTTTACACAAATATATTTTTGTCAGTTCTTGCTATGCTGAGTTTGATCCTACAGAATCCTATTTAGTTTTTATAGCTGTAATAATGCTTACATTAGGTAATCTTAAAATGCTTTCATTAGGTATTGCATGTAAATAGACAGAAACAGAACTGAAAGTCAGCTACCTACCAGCTCGTTAGTCTTACTTTCTGTTATAGCTGTGGTTAGTAGCTTGAGATTTAAATAGAATTGCTGAATATTTTAGTAACCAAGTACAATACAGTATTTGGGTTTTTTTAAGTTTAAAAAACCTATTCAAGTACACACTTATTAGTTGACATCCTATAAAAACAAACACAAAATATAATCCTTTGAATTCCCTAGTAGCAAATTCCTGTTTCTATGGGTGGAAACATCTGAAATTATTGAACACGGATCTCTGAGGAAAACATACTAATAACATGATTTTTCCCCAAAATAAAAAGTGTGCTGAATAGGTAGAGGCTTAGATTCAATATTTCAGTCCACTGTCAATTATCTGAATAGTTTGAGTGTCTCCCCATCCCTTTCTTTCTCTTTTTAGAAGAAAACGGATAATAAAAAATGTATAAACAAGTTACCAACTAGATTTCATTAAAGAGTCCTTTCAGAACCACTGTCCATCATTATCATCATCTTCCTCCTCATGGTCCAGATAGAGAAGAGCGACTTTCTTTTCATCAGAAATAACTGACCTTTGGTCTACCATTCTTTGCAATTGCACAGTTTTATCAAACTCATTCTTTTCATTCTCTGCCATCTGTGACTGACTAACAGAAGGATCTTGGTTATTGGATACGAGCATTGTTCCTTGCTGTTCTCCACTTTTTATGATAGATATTCCACCCATATTGGAAACATCCATTTGAAAAGTGTAAGATGCTTCCTTGGATCCTACTTTAATATGCTTTACAGACCTACTGCTCTCAGATGACTCTTCTGTTTGTGAAAGGTCTCCCGCTGTTTCAGAAGTAGGTCTTGAGAAGATTATTTCCTCAGTGTGACTTTCTACAGGAGTTATTTTAACATGCCTGTAAGATCTACTGGTATCTGAGCTTCCTTCATTCTCTGAAATATGTCCTTCTTGGTAAATGAGCTGTGGAGGTTCAGAAAGGGAGCCTTGATAGATGATTCGTTCAGTGGTTTTAACTCCCACTTGACCTACTCTATAATGCTTTACTGAGCCTCCTGAAAGAGTCTGGTCTTCCAGTTCACTGATTTCTGTGTGCTCAGAGACGGGCCCATGGTAGATGATTTTTTCAGCTGTCATAAACTCTTGGGGACCCAACTGAATATGTCTGACTGAACTTTCTGTCTGTGAGAAGCCTCTAGTGTCACTGACCTCCACTTTACCAGAGATTGGTCCTTCAAAGATAACTTGCTCAGTTTGACTCTCTTTTGGACCTAATCTGAAGTGCATTATTGATTTGCTGGAGTCCACAGACCCTTCTGTCTGAGAAATGTTACCTGAGCTGTTGAGCTCCAGAGAGTCTGAAACAGGTCCTTCAAAAGATACTTCTTCAGTTACTTGCCTTGATCCTACTGTGACATGTCTTGTGGACCTGTTGAAGTCTCTTGAAAACTGGGAAAGATTTCCAGAATCAATCTCTTCTGCAGCTGTAGAAATAGGGCCTGTATAAATTATTTCTTCTGTAGTAGAAATAGGGCCTGAATAAATGACTTCTTCTGTGGTTTGGATTTCTTTAGGACCCAGCTTAAAATGTCTCACAGATCGGCTGAACTCTGACGATCCTTCTCTCTGAACAACATCTTCTGAAGCACTGATCTCCACTGTTTCAGCACCAGACCCTTCATGCACGATCTGCTCGAATCTCTGAACTTCTGCTGGACCAATCCTAATATGCCTTATGGTGCTGGTCTCATCAGATTGTGGTGAGTGAGAGACTTCTCCAAAAACTGAAGCTTCAAAAACTGAACCGTCATAAATAACTTTTTCAGTGGTATGATACCCTGTGCTACCAGTTCTCCTCACTGTGGAGGAGTTGTAGATTTCTTGATCAGCCAAAGAAGTGCATTTGTCACCATCTACTTCTATATTGCTTACACCATCAACAACTCTCTCCGAACTCTCTTTTCTCAGGGAATGCAGTGTTGCCTTCTCCTTCTCACTTGCAATTACTTCATCAAGCTGAGCTGCATCGAATTCATCAGTATTAAGGGTCTGTGATAGATTGACTTCAGCAACAATAGTCACCACACCAGCATCCTCCTTTTGATCAACTTTTTTGATATCTACCTCTAAGCTACTGGAGTCAGCTTGACTTTGTTTTGTTAATGCAGATAGCTCCTCTTTCACACTGTCTGGGAGACTGCCCTCTAACTGCTCCAAAGCTTCCTTCAACTGCAATTTAGGGTCCTTTGTTTCCTTTGATAAAAGCCCTTTTATTGAAGTCTGAAATTCATGGGGAATTTTAATTTCTTTTTCAATAACCATGGATTCTACATGGGAAGTTTCAGCTTCAGGATGCTCTTTTAAAATATGGGCACTTGCTTCCTCCCCTACCACCTGATATGTTTCTTCTGGAGAGCTTACACCATCTCTCTTACTTTGCGTGCCTTGTAAAAATTCATCTTGCCAAGAATACTTAATAGTTGATTCTTCTTCTATATGTATTTGCCCATATACTGAGTCATCGTCTTTTTCATTAATAATGGGATGATCATCAGGAACAGACACAAAATATTTTTGTTCAGTAGGTGAGTCATCTTCCTCAGTTACTTCTTCCACATGAGTGAAACTCTCATGGCGTGGTTTCTTCTTTTTAACATCTTCATATGTGAACGTTACGCTTTGCTCCTCCTCACCGTAACGCCTATCTCTCTCAGGGAATGTATCTTCCACTTCCTCTACTTCAAAAGGTGTGGAAAAATCAGCCCTTTCATCAGTGGCATAATCTAGTGGCTCCTCTACAATCTCAACGTTAACAGACACATTCTTCCTGTCCTCGTTGCCTTTCAGGCCATGATGTACTATATCTTCTATCTCCTCTTTGGAAGGAGTTCCCTCAACACCCTCTCGAACCACTTTCCTAACATCCTGGTATGATAGACCTCCCGCATCAGCTTCACCAGAAATATCTATGTTTTCTTGAATTTGAGATTGCACTGTGATCTCAGTCTTGATTTTTCCATCATCTGGTTCTTCTTTCTTATTAAAATAGGTCACTTTTGTGTCTGTAGATACTTGTGAGCTAGAAGAATGTGTAAAACTTCTAAGAATGTCAGCAACAATATTCTCTGCTATATTTTCAGTTGACAGAGATCCCGTTTTATGACTTCTGTCACTCATTTGCTCTTCATCTTTCAAACTGGATTCTGCTTCTGAAATCCTCACTCGGTGAATTTCAGCAGGCTTAGTTACATGCTCATCTGTTTCTCTTCCTATGGAAGTTTTAACACCTTTTAACCTTATATCTTTATTACTGGGAGATTCTTTGTCAGGAGCTGGTTTTTCAATCGTGATAGGTATCTCAATGACTCCTTTGCTTCTCGATTCCGAAGCTGCATTTATATCCTTTTTGATTGATTCGCTTTTCAAAGTTCTTGCATTAGAAATATCACTCCCCGTTAACTTCTGGTTAATGACTTCCTCACGGATATATGTTTTCTCCTCCATTTTCCTTCCAAAATCAACACTTCTTTCTTCTTTAAAGGATTTCTCATCTGTTTTCCTTTCCTCCTCCTTTGTTTGTTTCTCTGGCTTATCTTTTTCTTTCAGCAGAGATTTATCTTCAGTTGGTTTGCTGCTTCCTCTGTTTTCTTTTCGTGTGGTCCAAGTTTCAGTTATGGTTTCTTCATACTTAGATGGTTTATAATTGGTATCCAGCTCATACATTGGGAATCTAGTGAAGCTTGGTTTTGTTCTTATATTTTCAGTAGTCCCGGGCTTTGTGTCAGGCTTGTGGTCCTTGTCTGATCTTTCAGCATGTGCTGATTTTGAAAAAGATACTGTGGATGAAGTTGTAACTTCCGTTTTCTTTCTGTCAGGAATTGTCTTATGCTGCATTTCAGTGGTTTTCCAGCTACTGTAAGCTGGAGTAAATGTTCTTAATTCTTTGTGGTCTGTTAAAATCCTTTCATCCTCTCTAACAGTTGTTGAAGGGCGATATACTGAACCAAGTACATCTCTTCCAAAACCTCTTCCACTAGCTGTAGTCTGCGATCCAGCCTGTGTTGACCGAGCTGAATAACGTGCAGAACTGCTGGTATTTGTCACTGGCATCCTGCGTCTTGTATCAGTGATCCTGAGAGCTGGTGAAGCTTTATTTCTGTTATTTTCTTGATAAGTAGAGTAAATATCAGTGTAGTTATATGAAGTGTTTATAATATCTGAAAAAAAGAGCATAAGTAACCAAACATTAAAATAATGGCTTGTATCTGAAATAATACAGAACAGAGGGCATGAACTGAGAAATTTTATGCTACATTTTTGAAAGAAAACATGCATTTAAATATCTATTGCACTGTGATCTCAGTCTTTATTTTCCCATCATTTGGTTTTTCTTTCTTATTAAAAGAGGTCACATTCATGTCTGTAGATATAATAAATCATAAATAAATTATGCTAATATCCTAGGCTTGTTTTTTTGTTTCATTAGTCAAAGTGGCCTGAAGTTCCTATTGAGAATTAACAGCATATCTGCCACCATGTACTAGAAAATGAAAACGCAACTACAACCCTTGATAGCCACGAGATACAATGAATTACACCAATCTATACAATTCAGTAACATGCACTGGGAATCACTGATGGACTCCAAGACCAACCAGTACCACACAACTCAAATCTCCAAATCCTAAGAAGCCAGCCACATCTCCTCTGATTTTTAGTAGTGTGTCCTACACTGGTACCACCAAAAGTGCCTGAGCTCTGTTTGCAGATCAAAACTGCCAGGGACAGTGCTAACAATTTAACAGCATGAGCAATTCTATGTGAGCATTTCAGCCTAGGCCCTAGTCTGTTTAATTCACTACTACAGGCACAGCCTTCACATCTCTTATGGGACTACTATCTATGATAGCCCAGTGATTTTAACACCACACATTGATAAACTCAGGAGTATTATGGAGACTAATTCTGTTACTAATAACAGTGGCCACAGCAGTAAGATCGAAGGTCCATCTGATCTAGTATCCTGTGTACAGTGACCAGAAGTAGATACATAGGGAAGTGTGTAAGGACAGGGCAAGTAGATAGCGATACTTCCCTGGTATACTCTCACAGCCTCCAGAGATTTGCAGCTCCTAAGACAGAAATGGTATCTTTATGTTTAGTAAGTCTTGGATTTTTCTTTCATTACTCTGCTAAAATTTCTCTTTAAACCCACCTACACTTTTTAACCCTCATGTGCCTCGTGATGACGAACTCTGTGGTTTTAACTACATGTTTTGTTAGATACCTCTTGCTTTATACTTCAAAGCACTCTTAAGAACTATGGGTATCAAAAACCTCTTGCACTATTAGAGCTATTAAACACCACTCCCTACTTTCCTCCTCCACTTGAGTCACAGTTTTATGAATTCTCATTACAGAATAGCACTACGCCGATTTAAAATATTAAAACTCAAAACCAATATTCATTTTGCAATGCAATCATAAAAAGTATTCTTCAGGAATACTCTAACACAATAGTTAGCAGTTATATTTAATTCAACATCCATTTTATAACATTCAATGTTTACCTTGAGGCAATTTTCCTCCATACTGCTCTCTCCATGTAATAATCCACTGGTTGCTCTCCCCTTCTAACAAAGCTCTGCAAAACGCAAAAAAGCATTCCATTAAAATGTTGGGAAGAATAATCACATTTAACATTTCAAAGTCTTAGAAACTGAAACAATTATGCAGTTGGGTCAGATCCTGAGTGTTTTTTCACACCCCATGTTTTGCTGCTGAGAATGAGAAATCCTCAGCATCTTCCAGACTTGCAGTTTGCAGAGTCCAGTTCATGAGACACTGCAATGATCTGGCAGCAGCAGCCACAATACAGTTTTAGATCAAATCTTCCACATAAGCCAACAAACTGCTTCCTGATATGGAAAGATCTGCTGATTTCCACTATGGAATCATACAGGCTAACAAATTTTTCCAGAATGATGATCATATAAAAGAGTTAGGAGAAAACTGACAGATATTCAGTAAAGCTTTCTCAGAGAAACACATGGAGATGGTTTATAAAGAGAAGACAAAATTGAAAAGAATATTTGCAAGTAAATAGTCAGCAATATTCCTGCTGGTAATACAGTACCAAAGGTGTCTGTGCAGGGTCATATATGAGGGGACTGTTACATCCAGGACTTGTACGTTTATCCTTTTCAAATGAAAACCGAAGGAAAGTATTACTTCTATTGTCAAACGCTGGCTAGTGCAAGAGCAAACAATTTACAGTATTAAAGTAACTATTCTTAGTTCCTGTTCAATCAGAAATTCAAAACCTGTTTTACAACAAAGGACTAGGAAAATCCCTTGTGACTCTGCTTGGTTTTCCCTGTTTCTCAGCCTTCCATTCATCCTTTTTGCAATGACTCCATAATAACTTCTGTAGTCCAGTTCCACATGACTACTGTGGTCAAGGCTTCCTCTTGTTGACCAACCAAGACATGGTAGCTCAGCAGCAATTGCTCAGAAATGGACAGGACGCCAGTTTGCTTACCTTTACCTTGTAGAAATTATATTGCTACAAACAAACAGCAGAAGCAGGCAACAACTGTTAATAATGCTCTTCATCATTTTGTCTACTACTGTTCTTGGTGTATTGACATACAGAATGGAAACTCTTTGAGTTGCTTTTTCTATGCTGGTAATACACATTAGCTGTCCTTGGAGACATGGTACCCAGCTGATAGCAAGAGAACACTGGCTATCCTTTCTTTAGGCCAAAATCTCTTCCTGATATAGCATGGATGTACAAGGAGCATACTTCCTCAAGACCCATCTAACAGCAGCCACAAGCTTATCCTATTCCTGAATAAGGTTACTGCACTACATGTTGTCCTTTCTGCAGTGGTGGAAAGGACTCCATATGTGCATTTCCCACAGAAATTAGCACAACTGTGGGGCAAAATACTTCCAGGAGCAATTGCTTTGCACTAAGAATATTCCAATAGGCACACAGCATACTTCTGTCCTCCTGGGACGGAAAAAGAATAAGCGCATTCCCTAAAATTACTCAACTGCTCTAAAAAAAAACTAAACAAAATTGCTGGCTTCTTCCATGTACCAAATACAAAAAGCAAGTATTAGGGTGATCTTATTCAGTCCTACAAGCTTAGCGATGGTTCTCCATAAGACTGAGACCCAGAATTCCTGATAATTTCTCTGGAAGTCTTTCTGTGCTTTCCTTCCCTCCTGCTGTCCATATGCTTTTGCAGGGCCTCAAGCTACATTATTCCCCCCAAGAAGGGTGCTCAACTGCAGCATTCTGGTGCAACAGCCTAGAAATTCTATGGCAGACTCTTTCAATACACAACGGAACACTATAATCAGTACAGAAACTTTGGTGTTTTCGTATTCACTTCAACTAGTGAGGTACTCATTTCATCATTTCCAGTCTTGGAAATGCCAGATGTTCTGCACTGATAACATACAGCTGCAGCATTAAAGTTGTCATGAGTAAAGCTGGAAGATTATGATAGCCAAGGCTTCTGACTCCTGGGGTGGGGGGGAGGAGTTGAGAGCAATTTAGGATTGTGGTATAAAACACATTTGCTGGGCATTTCTGTCAAAATTAACAAAGTAGGCACTTCAAATGTCAGCTGTAGGCTTCACACTTCACGTGGCTGATCACTTTGTACACTTAATGCCTCTTGGGTTTTGACTGCCTCTAGATTCAGTAGGATAATGCTACATCAGCAAAATATTAGTAAGGTTCTTTGCAATCATGGATTTGCCTGAATTCAGAAGAAAAGCCAGATTAGAATTACCTAACATATTTACAGATCACTTTCCCCCTTAAAACAGGCTCAAATGGACACCTTCACTTCTATTTTGTTTGTCAAAAAACCCAAAGTAAAAGCAATTTATCTTCCTCCATATTAAGAGAGGCTTTATAGGAATTAGATAACTTCACCACATACAGACAATGTTTCCCAGACCAAACATCTGATCTGATGAAGCTACTGAGTGCCAAACTAACAGCTCCAACAGAGATCCTCTGAAGAAGCTGGTGGTGACGCTGCAAAACATATCAAGATGCTGGTAAAGAAAGGGTTAACCATGACGAAGGAAACCAGGAATGTGGGTAGTTTGACTAAGGATTTCTGGCTGCTGTTAAAACAACAGTTGTTCAGTTGCTGCAGCAACGTATGAAGTCACTAAAAATAAGCTCCAAGAGGTAACTGTATATGGCAAAGGGCAACAGCAAACAGAAAAGCTGGATCTGAAATATTACTACTGAAAATACAATGTACTTGAAAATGAAAGGCAAAGCTTCATGAAACATCTATAAAACCAAACAGTAAATCCCTGTAAATATGCATGCCCTCAGGCTTATCAGATAAGCAAGAAAATGTTAAACTGACTTTGGCTTAATAAACTGTAATGTACTGAGCACTGGCCTGGAAGCCAGTAAACTCTGGTTATCTTCCTCAGCTTGACCATAGCTTCAGTTCACACAAGTAATTTTGCTTCTCTGTTCATTTACATCCTTTCCTAATACTACTCATTTAAACTATAACCTCTTTGTGATGAGGAGTGCTTTTAAACTTGAACTGCCTGAAGAACAGGGTGTTACTTTCAACTCCATTAACCCTTCAGAATTCACAGTAGTGACAAAAAACATTCCTCCGAGCAGCACTTCTAAAAAATAACCAGATCAGCTACTTCCTGGAAATTGGATCCCAAATGACATAAACCAAGTGTTAACACAATGTGTGTAAGTGTTGCCAGTTCCAGCTACACCTTTAGCTCATCTTATCATTAACGTCACTTATCTAAAGTTAGCAGTGACGTGCTTGCCAGGCTGAAGCCCTCAGTGTGCTGGATGACAACAGAAATAACCAGTCCATGAAAGCAGGTGGATGAAATAAACTGGTATGGGTGGGGAAGAAGTTACAAGGATGCAGTGCAAATGTTATCATGGTCATTAGACAACAGCAGTGACTTTGTTTCAACTGCAGAAACCCACAATCTCAGACAGACTGTTAGCCAGCAGGTTATAAAAATGCATCCTCTCTATCGTGGGGATTTGGTAAGGAGGTACCAAAAAACAGCCCTCCAGGAAGTGGAATTTTTGGAGGCCAAGTCCATTCCACATCTTTTTTCCATCTCAAGATGGGAGGACAAGGACTGTATGAAGAACAGCAAGTAACTGCCTGCATGTTAAATTCCCTGGGTGTGGAAAACTCAGAATGGTCTCAAAATAAAACAAATCCAGGAATGGGACATATTGAATTGTGCAAGTTGTAAACCAACTGAAGGAGGATCGCAGGGTGTTCCTGGCAAGTGTATTGAGAGATCCTGACAATGACCAGGCAAAAAGACAAAACAAACAAAAAGCTTTGTAGCCTTCCCGGCCTCAAAATGCAGGGTGGTAACCTAGAACAGAACACTGGCATGGCTCTAGGAGTTCAAAGTAAAATCTTTCACCCTTCAACAATACCATATTTTAGAGGGTGCAGAAAAACTACTTAACGTATGGCAGAAGCTCTGGGCAGCCTCTGCTGTTTGAAGAGAAGAAGCTTCTGATAGCTGATGAGAAAGGCTTGTTAGTAATTACGATCCTAGGCAGATTTTTCTATGTGCTTTTAGAATTAAGAGTCTTGCACAGTGATTCATTCACCACTTCCCTCTGGAAATAAAACTTCAGAATAGCCTACGTAGTTGCAGTTTTGCTGGGTTCCAAGAACACAGAACAAAACTGCAAGACATAAATATTTACTTCAACACTGGTGAAAAAGGATTGGGAATGAAGATTCCCAGGAGATACGACTTCATAAAGCCACTTAAGACATATATATCATATGACATATATATCATATATATCAGAGAGCCTCAGGTCCCAGAGCAGGAAGGGTGAGCAGGTTCAGAGAGGAAGTACATGTGGTCTTTGAGGAAGGGTGTTCCTTGCAACAATGATCCCTCTTGCCAGTCCAGGAGCAGTGTTGACTAATAGAAAGAACTGGCTTTAAAACCAAATCTGTAGTTGTAAAACAAAGAGAAAATACAGGGTGGGAGGTACAAAGAGAGCCCCAAGAAGTAGACCAGATACCACACCCTTAACCTATAATGCCAGGACAAAAAATGGTGCCAAGGCCCTCATGGAAACCCCTCAGTGAAAAGTTCAGGATGTTGAACTAAGTGTGAATAGGTGCCTTTTGTTTTCAATATGCATAAGCAAGGGGGTATGCCGGCATCCTTCATGAAAACAACCTGGATCTGGTATCACATGCCCTGGTTATCACAGATAAAAAGACCTGTGAGAGGAACAGGATGTGAAAAAGTACATAGATGAGCAGTCTGGAATTCTCTTGCTAGACAGCTTACTAACTGGATCCATACTGGCTCCCTCCACAACAGTGCTGATGAAGGTATACAGTAGGGAAGGCATTATTTTCTTAAGGGAGAATGAGAAGATATGGCAAAACTCCATAAGCGTAAAAACACAAACCAATCCCTTTTTAGCTTCTGGTATTTCAAAAATCACTTTGTTTGCAGGCATTAGATAGCATGTTCTCTGATCTTAGCAAGACTCATTTCTCTGTTTTCATCTTTTTCAGTAGATAGGTGCTCATTTGTCCACTGAAGTCTGCCTTGCCAACCCAATCAGTGATACAAGTGGCATTCACTACAATCAGCTGAAGAAACCCTACAGGTTAAGGAGCTTCTTAACTAGACAACAAACATATGCTGGAGCTGATGCCGAACTGTTCATTCTCCTTTCATTAAGGAGGGTAGGGAATCCTTAGACACACCAATAGTGCTCAGATAATTGGTGATACGACCTCTGGAAAAGTTCTGGAATTTAATGGGCTTACAAGGTTTTACAGAGCAGAAGCACTGATGATGGTTCACTTATTAACTAAGAGAGTGTCCAAACAACTAAATAACTGGGCATTATCATGCCTACTTCTGGATGAATACTAATCATCAGAACAATCCTGATAATGCTGTCATTGTGAAAGTGCTAATCCCATTTTGCAGATGAATAAACTAAGGGAGAAAGTTTAAGTGACAACAGTAAGTCAACATCAGAGCTAGGATTAAAAGAATGGTATATTTTAGAAAAGTTAACAGAATTAACACACACCAGTAAGGACCACAACTGGCTACCATTTCCTCAGTTTCTCTTCTACTAGTAATGCTCCAGATACTATTGGCTTTCCAAGGATCACAGGGATCCCACTCCACCAACAAACATCCAGGTATTGTTGCTCACCAACTGACTGCAAATTACTTGTCCCACATACTGCTTGTGATTTCATGTCATCCAGAAGCCAGCCTTGGTCTGTACCTCATTGAACACAATACTCAAGGCATCTTGAACAGACCATTGCTTCTCTTTGATGGACTACAGACATCCTTTTCTCACCGACTTGTTATCAAGCTACTCAGAATCTACTCTTTCAAGCTTCTCATTTTCAATTATACAACTACAATTAAATTAGGTGAACGCTAATCAACATATTCAAACAATTACACATGCCATGTAAGTTGACAGCTGGCAACTATGCTACCTCATGTTTTATTGATTGCAATGTAGGGATACTGGCTCCTCAGCTTGTAATCAAATATTGCCTCAACAATTCACATCACATGATATCAACTTGATCAGAACTAAGAAGGTTTCTTACATATCACTGCATTTGTTAAGCTGTATGTTTTGTCTCCTCTAACATGTTGTTCTGGGGACAGAGGAATAGAAGGAAATACTAACAGAGATAGTTTTGCTTGAATGATCAAATTACAGTCACCTCTGCCCACTGGCAATTCTTAGTGTTACTAATTAATAATGTTATTTTACTATTCTTACAGTTTTCCCAGAGATCTCAGACATCTTCACACATACTAGCAGCCTTCTGAAGGGGTGTTATCTTCCTTTCACAGACATCATAGTCAAGCACAGAATAGTATAGTGACCTGTGTCACAGAACAAGCCAACAGCAAACTAAAAACCCATATTAGGGGCCCATTCGCTCTGTTTAACAAACCACAAGACATGCAAGGAGTCTTGATCTCGGACTCTAAGAGCAGCTATACTCTAAATGCTGGAAAGAGAGTGACTGGGGCTCCTGAAACCTATAAAGAACAATTTAAATCATCTTCTGATTAGATGATTTAGTGAGACGGCAATTCTTACCTGTAGGTTTCAATTTCAAGGATGAGGCCTGTTTTCACCTGCAGTAGTTCTTGATAGTCCTTCAGGTAATCTGTGATTGATGCGGTGAGGAACTGCTTTTCTTCTTCAAGAGCATCGATTATCCTCTAAACAGAAATATTGATTTTTAGTCTTGAGCTAGCATAGAAATCTGTACACTTGAATGCCTAATAACAAACCTTTTATTTAAAAAGGTAATCTGAGAGAACAAGAAATCACTATGTTGCATCACTTCAAAACCCGGAACTAATCAGGTAGGACCTCCCCGTGTACAATCTGACATACATGGCTACTGAAGCAGAGTTTCATGCTAAGATTTCATTTTATGCCTTACTAAGCTAGTTACATATTTCAGTAAAACCTATTCAGATGCCCTGTACAAAAATTATCAAGTATACACGCAAGGAGAATACATTTATTTCTATATGTGATTGTTAATGTGACTCGTTTTGTCATTTTAAGAGTATAGATGTTTATATTTGATATCAGGAATTCCAGCAATTGCTTTACCACGGGAACCTGGCCTATTTCTCTCTCTTGGTATTGTCAGTTCTATAGACATGTAGGTCAAAATCTGGTTTTGGATTCTACCATCTGCAGAATTTCATAGTGCCTAGAAGGTGAAGGAGGAACCTCCAGTGCTTCCTTTGAGCCAAGTTCTCCACAGTATTTGGACACCTGCTTTGTAGCCCATCCAGCTTTGTCCTAACTGCTACTCTGAAGATGTACAAGGGATTGCTCATCTTCACCTTGATAACTAAACTTCATACCTTCACAGGTGTGTGTAGCTATGGGAGGAGCATAGTTTACATGACACCCACAAATTACTTGTAGCAGTAGCACTTATGAGATAGTAGGTAACGCCTGCCCCCCTTCCCTTAACCAGTTTTGGAAATGGATAAAGGAACTGATGAGCAGAAATACTCTGAAATACTAAATACTGAATAACTGTACACAACAGAAACAGCCATGAAGACTTAATGCAACACAACGTTAAGATTTGATTTAGACCAAGACAACTGACTCTCATGCTCTTGAAAAAAGCACCACAGAAAGCAAGTGCTTTAATCACTGTTGTTACCTCCAGGGGCAAATTGCCACCCTGCAGAAAATAAGCCCTCCCCTGATAACCAGGAGAAACTTGTTCAGTACAGACTTGGAACTAAAAGTATTGGTATTAGCTGTTCACTGTCATTCTTAACAGTTTCCTCACTGTGGATAGAATTTATTAACCCAGATCAATCCTCAGTCAGCAGGTTGATGCTAACTGAAACACTGTGAGCAGTACTTTGTTCTGGAGGCTGTATCTTCCAATACATGTGGATATCTCTCTCTTTATAACTCATATTAATCCATTTCTTCATTTGCATTTATAGCTGTTGTTAAATTATAGTGATTATACTGATGTTTTCTGTGACACAACAAACCTTTCTCACATTCCTCTGTGTACCTAAAACTCCCTTTTTTATGGCAGAAGAAATCATATCCACATCTGATAAAGCACTATCAGCCACCCAGCAGCCTCATCCAGACTGCAGTGGAGGTAACATCCTGTACAGCCACGCACAGCAGCAAGCAAACCACTGACCTTTAGCGGCTCTAAAGCAACAATCCTGTTCAAGAACTGACACAATGGAAAATCCCAAGATGAGAAGGAAAGAAAAGTGCCAGGCCCTTCTTTTAAAAGGGAAAGGCTCTCAAGCAAGAATGGACAGGGTGTTGAGAAACCCAGCGGAGTAAGCAAAAGGAACAACTGACAAGGAAGACTGGATCCCTATGGGCCCAACCCCTAAAGGTGTTAAGAGTCCCTTACCCCCAAGTTCTGTAGTCCAGGTTTGAAAAGCCACCTAGATTATACCCACTGGATTTGGAGAGCACTTGGAACCCAAAAGTTAGAGTTAATGATTACCATAAGGGGCTAGAGAACCCAGCCAGCTGTATAATAGTTCCAAAGGAATTCATTCCAACAGGAGCAGACATTGTATAGACTAGATGGCAGGCAGCCAGTCATCCAGCCCTCCAGCCACTGATGCTTAAACGCAATGTGAGAGACAATTGGTCTCAAGTCTTGTTTCTAAGCATGCCAAAAAGTACATAAACCACTTCAACAAAGTTTGGGAGACTGCAAAGTAACAAACTTCATTTTGCCAAAGGTAACCTGTGTTGCAATTGCATTAGCTTCACACAGGGCTTTCTTGGAAAGATGCTTCTTAACCACATTAATCCCATGCCCTCCCAGATCCCAGCAATGCCCTACTAGAGCTAAGTAACTGAATAGAAGTGATCTTCTCACCATTCAAATATTCCTTTCCAGGCAGCAGTGGGAAATTTTAGAAGGGCAGTAGGAGGAAAAGGATTTACTTGGGTTGTCCAAGCTGCACCTACTAAGGGAATAATGAGAGTATTCCAGGCTCCAGCCCTTTCCATCTGGTACTATTTACTGATCCCATAGCTCACTCAGTGGCTCAGCAGGGAGGAACTGACACTACACTTAGCTGGCTAGAAACTGGTGTACAAAAAAATGCACAGGACATACTGATATTTACATGCTCATTTGACAAGATCCTTTCTTCTCTGGGGCTCACAACACTGCCACAGGAGCTGATCCTAAACCCACCGTATTAGTGATAATACATGCCTCGTTTCAAAGCAGCAGGATGAGCCATGACCTTTTTACATCCAAAAACTACAGGGCTTTCTCAGATCACAGAGTTTCTCCGTAAGTATTGTCACAGCTAAAATTATGGAAGCAGGAGACCTACTGAGTTCATCCCTTTAGCATCCATGGCAGTGAAAATTTTCCAAGCAATGTATGATTTACAGCTTGCCTCCTTCAGCTAAATTATAACTCCAAATACATATTTCTATTTAACATTGCTGAAAGCTTTAGTGAGGATAAGGGCAGTGCAGGAGGCAAAGATGGACATATAAGGCAACTGGATGATATATGGAAAATATGAATAAATCTAATTGCCACTGCAGCTGCAATGCACAACAATCACTTGACTTAAATCTGTACATACCTATCATTTCTATGTGACACCTTACAATAAATAAGCATAAAGTAGATGCTCTTTAAAGAGTAGTTTAAAATCCATGCTGAGCATACTGTAGCTAATAAAAGAAATAATGAGGGAGGGAAAAAAGCTTTCATCACAAGAACAAAACCTCTAACAGCTGCCTCTACATAACCTGTAAGTTTTCTTCCTGGATGTGAGCAAAAGGCATTTTATTTCTCATGTACAGTAGACTGGCCACTGGAAAAGGCTTTTCTCATCAGAAACCATGAATATGAAACTGCTTGGAAGCTATAAACCTTATGATAGGACTTGCACCAGAATGCAAATACTATCTAGATACATAGTCAAAGATCAGACAACTCACATGTTTTCAGGCTGACTATCAAAGCACTTCTTTCTTTGTATTACTAAGATTTGAAGTCATTGTTCCTGTAAAATCCAAAGCAGGCCAGATGCTCATGGGAGTAAAATAGAAGTTTGTTGTGTTGGTATCAAAATATCAATCTATTTTTGAGATGCAGGACAGTTCAAGGGCACACATTGATTTCAATTACCTGACTGCTGCAATGGGGATGTTCTGTCTCCACTTGCTCTCCTGAATAAAAGTCTTGAAAGATACAACCAGATACAGAGACACCACACTGGTATAAAAACACCTTGCTGAGGTGAGAGTTTGGTATCTGCACGCAGCCATTCTAACTGACTTTGAAAAGAAAACTTGCAGCATGGAGTAACGAGTTATATATAATAGGAGCTATATAAAGTGCTCCTCTTAAAATAACACCGTATTTAAAGGTTTTCAGTTTGAGCCATGATGATTGAAAGTCAGTGACATTTTCATTATAAATCCCTAAAACTGAATAGAGGCAGCAAGGAGAACAGAATTCGGGAATCCAAGTAACATTAAATATTAGTAGGCTTATGTGTATTTATGTAAACTTAGACACCTTAGAGAACAGGAAAAAAATGAAAAGGTGTCTTTTATTCTTTACATTTTCACCTGGCTTTGACTGATGGATTGATTTAATTAACAAGTAGTTTATATATAACATCTTCTAAAGGTTGGAAACATTTACATACAGAATTGAAAGAACTGTCCTGTCAAAAATGAGGAAAAAAAAAGGTAGTTAAAGTCTTTCTGATTACTTCTTACACACCTACCCTGCCTCAGCTCACAGCATCTGCAAACAATCTGGCAACATACAAACCCCAGACACACAGAGCAACAGGTCCCAGTCCTTTCCCAGCTGCTGGACACAATGCCAGCATTAGCACACAGGCTCCCACAAACACCCGGCTCCAGCAGAGTGTTACTAAAAGGTCTAACAACAAAAGAAGTGTTGCCCTCAGGAAATCGATCCATGGCCTGGATGACCTAACACGTGCTCTCCACTCTGAGGATGATGAGCTGGTATTTTGCTGTGCCAGCAGTTGCTGATCAGTTCACCCAACATTATCCTGACAGCAAGCTAATTCTCAGTTACAGGTGCTAAAACCCTCTGTTGAACAGCTCCAGTCATCCACCTTGAGCAGATACCTGTCACCTACATCCTTTAAAGCTTTATTTCAAGGAATTCCCACTCTGCTCACTGCCTGTAGCACAGCAACGAGTCTCCTGCCTTTAAACAACTACATATTTTCTCTTCCTGCCTTTAAACCAGAAGTTTTCTTAACCATGCTGGGCCCAAAAGCTTTTCTCCAGGCTCAGGAGCAGTGTAAAGCAGGAAGAAAACTTGGATCACTCCTCTGAGGGCAGGCAGGTCAACCTCACGTCTCAGAAGAGACACTTTGTGTCCCATCACATAAGGAGTTGGTTCTCCTGCTCCCAGGACTGCTCTGTCCCCCCACATGCTCACGCCAACCCCAGCAGGAGCACTCGCACACAAGCTCTTGGGTGCTGGCGGAAGGCAGGTTGGGAAGGGAGCACCTTTGACCAGGAAGGTACCTTCAGGGTCACCATCTCCCTTTCTATCCCCACCCCTCGCACACAGCTCTTCCCAAATGGAGCAGAGGGTCTCAAAGGGACCAGAGAAGGGCTCAGCTGTGACAAGCTCTTCCAGCCTGAGGCACTCCAGGAGGCAAAGTGGAAGCCCTGTCCCACCACAGAATGAGTGGGAGCCCTCAGAGAGGTTGAGGAACTTCCCACAGGAGGGATGGGAGCTAATTTAGGGGATCAGAGTAGGGATGGGGGCTAATTTAGGGGATGGGAGCTAATTTAGGGGATGGGAGTAGGGATGGGAGCTAATTTAGGGGATGGGAGTAGGGATGGGAGCTAATTTAGGGGATCGGAGTAGGGATGGGAGCTAATTTAGGGGATCGGAGTAGGGATGGGAGCTAATTTAGGGGATCGGAGTAGGGATGGGAGCTAATTTAGGGGATCGGAGTAGGGATGGGAGCTAATTTAGGGGATCGGAGTAGGGATGGGAGCTAATTTAGGGGATCGGAGTAGGGATGGGAGCTAATTTAGGGGATCGGAGTAGGGATGGGAGCTAATTTAGGGGATCGGAGTAGGGATGGGAGCTAATTTAGGGGATCGGAGTAGGGATGGGAGCTAATTTAGGGGATCGGAGTAGGGATGGGAGCTAATTTAGGGGATCGGAGTAGGGATGGGAGCTAATTTAGGGGATCGGAGTAGGGATGGGAGCTAATTTAGGGGATCGGAGTAGGGATGGGAGCTAATTTAGGGGATCGGAGTAGGGATGGGAGCTAATTTAGGGGATCGGAGTAGGGATGGGAGCTAATTTAGGGGATCGGAGTAGGGATGGGAGCTAATTTAGGGGATTGGAGTAGGGATGGGAGCTAATTTAGGGGATTGGAGTAGGGATGGGAGCTAATTTAGGGGATCGGAGTAGGGATGGGAGCTAGTCTACACGATCGGAGTGCCAGGGTCGTGGGAAATCCGGTTCATGTCTCACGAGGGACCGGAACCGGGGGGAAAACGCGAGTGGGAGGGGGGAAGAAGTTTCAGAAGAGCGCCAAGGGAAGCAGCGGGGGGCGGGCATGGCTGGAGAGGCCTGGGACAGGCCCGGGACCGGGGAGACACCGGTCAGGGACCGACCCGAGGCGACCACGCACCTGATACTCCTCCACCTCGGCGCCGTGGCGGTCCTGCAAGGCGAGCAGCTCCTGCTCCAGCCGCTCCCGGAGCCCGCACAGCTCCCGGCCCTGGCGGTGCAGGTCCTCCAGGTGCTGCCGGCACTGCCGGCTCTCCTCCCGCAGCAGCTCCAGGTTCTCCCGGCTCCGCTGCGCCTCCTGCTCCTGCAGCACCTGGAGCTGCTCCTGGTAGCGCAGCAGGGTCTCCCGGCAGCTCTGGCTGAGCAGCATCTCGTAGGTCTCCTCCAGCTCCTCCAGGCTCAGCCCGGACAAGGGCGGCGGCAGCGCGGCCAGGTCCATCCGCAACTCCCGTATCTCCACCGCCTCCCGCCGCTGCCGCTCCGCCAGGTGCCCGTGCTCGGCCTGCAGCTGCAGCAGCAGCTCCTCCAGAGCTATGCACTCTCCCCGCAGCCGCTCCAACAGCCGCTGCTGCCCGACCAGCTCGGGCTCCAGGCGCCGCCGCATCGCCAGCACCTCCGAGCCCAGCAGCTGCAGCTGCTCCAGCTCCCGCCGCAGCCCGTCCCGCTCCAGCTCCGCTTCCAGCTTCGCCCTGCTCAGCTCCTCCAGCTGCATCCGCAGCCAGGCCAGCTCCTGCTCGGGCACCCGCAGCCCCACCAGCTCCTGCTCCCGCAGCTCCGCCAGCTCCCGCGCCAGAAAGCGGTTCTCCTCCTCCAACTCCCGCACGCGGGACACGAAGACCCGCAGCCGGGAGTTGAGCTCCTGCAGCTCCCTCTTCTCGTCCCATCCCGCTTCCCACCGCCGCCGCCACATCTTGCCCGGGACGCGGGGTCGGGCCCGCGGCACCCCCTCAACCGCTGCCACCGCCACGCAGCTCCCGCTCGGCTCTGCCGCCACTCCCGGCACTGCGCGACCCGGGACCCACAGGCCCCGCCCCCGGAGCCCAGGGCCCCGCCCCAGTGTCCGCGGCGCTGCCCTGCGGCGCCCCCTGCCGGGCTCCTGAGTCTCCCTCTGGTGGCGCCCCTGTGCCCCCGGCATCCCCGCGCCGAGCCCATGCCGCCCTCCACCCCCGCAGTCCCCGTACTCTCCCCCGTGCACCCCGTACAAAGGTACTTTGTGGTCCGCGTGTTGCTGTCACCGTGCTCCCGTTCACATGAAGTACCTTTTAGAACGACTCTGTTCAGCTGAGGGAGGACTGAAATGCCTCCAGCCTGTGCCGCGGCTCCGTAAAGTCTTTGAACACCGGAAAGCATTCCCGCTTCCCGGGTTTATCCCACAGCAGCGCATCCCTGTGCCCAGTTATCCTCTGCCTTGTACTGCACCGTCTATGGGCTGGATCCAGGGAAGTCAGCGCATTAGCTGGCCCTGGCTCTGCCGCAGCAGCTCAGCAGCGCAGCATCACACCCGGTGTTATCTGCCAAATCAAAGAGATGAGGAGTGACTCATTTCGACTTACTCCTCTCCCCAGGCATTCTCTCCCTCTCACAGACACACACGTTTCTATTTCACCTGCTGCTGCAGCACTGGGAGCTGTGCACACATCAGAGAGCAGCTCTGCTCTGGAGCCAGGCTGAGGGAGCTGGGCTGGGTCAGCCTGGAGAAGAGAAGGCTCCTGAAGGGGAGACCTCAGAGCAGCTCCAGTGCCTAAAGGGGCTGCAGGAAACCTGGAGAGGGGCTTGGGACAAGGGCCTGTAGGGACAGGCCAAGGGGAATGGCTTTAACCTGCCAGAGGGGAGACTGAGATGAGCTCTTAGGCAGAAGCTCTTCCCTGTGAGGGTGCTGAGGCGCTGGCACAGGGTGCCCAGAGAAGCTGTGGCTGCCCCATCGCTGGCAGTGCTCAAGGCCAGGTTGGACACGGGCTTGGAGCAAGCTGCTCTGGTGGAAGGTGTCCCTGCCTGTGGCAGGGGTTGGGACTGGATGAGCTTTAAGGTCCCTTCCAGCCCATCCTAGGATTCTGTGATTTGCTGCTTCACGCAAGGCATCACAGCTCTCACCTCTGCGTTCACCCCTCAGGACTGCTCCCAGCCAAAGCTCACACAGGGAAAGGACTGGAACCTGGCGCAAGCCCTGCAAAGCTGGGATCAGGGTGCAGATGTACCACACTGATCTGCTCTGGGCACTGCACCCCATTCTCTGCTCTGTTGCACCCTTCCCGAAGCCTCCCACCTCAGCCCCACATCTCCCTGCTGACACAAAGGCCTGCTCTTGGCTGCTTCTTTGCCCTCTGCTGAATAAATTTCCTTCTAATCTCGATAAAGCCTCCAGGATTTGAGCCCAACCAACACAGATAAATCATTGGCTTTGGCCTAAAAGTCAGCTAATTTAGCCTTGGCAGATTTGCTCCGTCAGAGGTCACTGGGAAGCTGAGATTTACTAAAGACACTTGCTTTTTCTTGCCTTTGTGGTCAAAATCAAGTCCCTCAGTGACACTCCAACACCTGCTGCTCTTTTGTGAGGAGAAACCACTATGCTTCTGGGAAGGGGTAAGTTCCTGTGGTTTATGAGGCTTTTTCTACCTCTGATGTCACTAAGAACCCTGAGTAAAGAACACACCAACAGCCAGCATCCTGCACAGAGCAACGCTGCTGCACTGGCTTAAATGAGCTTTCTGGGGGTCACTGGGGATGCTCTGCCGCATGTCACTGCATCCACTGCTTGTCTTTTCCTTACCGACTGTTTGACTAATGTTTTGCTGCCACTGTATTCATAATTTGTTATGGTTTCATTGTTATTGATGAAACCTCTATTTTTGTCTCTTGAAAAACCACCATAAACCTCTCTAGATGTTGGATGGCTTTCCAGGCTGGGGGATCTACTTCTCCATTCAGGTTGTATACACTGATGTCTGCTAAACTGCCTGGAGTTAGTTCCTGGGACTGGACCTGCAACTGAGTAAGGAATCTGTGGTCTAGGACAGGGAATACCTGAAATGGGCAAAGTTTGGGTGAGCCAGTTCTGATACAGACCTTGAAGCTTTGTTAACTGAGTTCCAAGACTCACAAGGTCTTTGAGAATCCCCTGACCAGTGCAGATATGTGGAGAGCTGAAATGCACTCATTGGAGCCCTTCTCTCTGCAGACTTTAATGAATTAACGTGTACTTGCAGAAAAGGGGAAAGAAACCCCATGCACTCCACCAGCGATGGGCAAATGGAAAATACCCCAAGGATTTTGCTGTGGGAAGAAGTGTGGTGGAGCCACAGCTTTGTGCTGTCACTGACACTGAAGATGGCTGCAGGAAAGCCTCACATAGGAGAAAATGAAGCAGCAGACACCCAGCACAACCAACACAAGCAGTGTCATAGAGCATCCCTCTTCCCAAGGTAAATCCCTGGTGCCAGGGACCACATCCTGCTCCTAGGAAGCCACCTGTAACACACAAGCAATAGTAGCAAAGATCTGGGGTGGGAGAGGGCAGGGGAGAGTTATAATCTTCAATGCCACAGTGACAGAGGCAAACTGGGTCTCTGTGGTCTCTTCAGCTCCAGTGAAGGTCTTGTGCTTTCGAGAGGCTCATTGTCAGCATTCTACAAACTACGAAGTGTCACCCTGGTAACTCTTAATTCTGCTTCAGCACAGCTTGTTCTGCGTGCTCTCTCATCTGCAGAGTTTAAAGGATGAAGCTGTCACTGGGGAGATGTTCTGATGCCGACATCCTTGAGATAGACTGACACAAAGAAAACACGGTTCATTAAAATGGTGCAAGACGCTGTGATTCCTGTTGGTATGGGAGGCTCAAGACACGTTTGTTTACAGGCAGTTCCTGCAGTTAGATCAATGTAGGAATATTCCCCCGTGGTGGGTGGGGAAGGAATGTGAAGTGCAGTGTTTCCCAGTTTCACCTTTTGGCTTTCATGGCTACCCTCATGTGTAATAGAGAAAATAATGCAAACACCAGCCGTCTACTACCTTAATGACTGTCAGACAGTACTGGGGAAAGCTGCACTTCAGCTCTCTGCATCCCCTTCACTGGGCTTTACAACCCCTCAAAATGGGTTTGAAATGACACCAGAGGAAGGAATGTTTTGACACAGGCTGGAACTGGGGGTCCTCTCCCTGCTTCCAGATCAGGGGATACCCCTTTGGATAAATCTTTGCAGATACACAACCTGAAAGCAAGAGTCTGTCTGCAGAGGCACTTGTGCTGGCCGCACACACCACAGCCCTGAGAGTAAGCACTGGCCTTCTGTGACCTTTGGATGTGAGAACCAGGAGCAGTAACCTGGTTTTCTCCTCGAAAGGCTGTCGAAACCAGGAGCCTCCCTTGACTTGGCACAGAAGCGCCTGGTTTAGAAACTCCTTCAGAAATATTTGTCTCAAAGGAAGCAGAATTCTGATAAAGGAGGGTTTGTTGCCTTTATCAAGGTGAGTTTCCTTGGTTTCTGTGAGCAGTTGCATCGCTTCCATCTGCAGGGGTTTTGAAGAGCGCTTGCAGAAGTGGTGTCCACCTCTAGATGGTGTGTTTGGCTCAGAAGAACTTCACGGCTGGGCCTTTACATAACTTCTGCTCCCTTGTCTGAGGTTACAAACGGGCTTCAATCAATCCACACCGATTTTAGTAGCTCCTTGTTTTCTTAACGTGAGGATCTGGCTGCAGTGTAATGAGAAAACGATAAAAATATGTTATTTAGATGCTTCAGAAAGGTGTATTACCCGGCACGTTTGGTTTGGCATGTGAGTAACATATCTAGCATGTAACTGATAGCACTGCATGTCTTCTGGTTTCATTCCTGTGTTAAATAAATTAAAACAGTCTACTTTCTATCGCGTAAAGTGCCTTTGCTCTGTGCTTGAATGTAACGACAGAGCGGGTACAAAGATGGTAACACCCCAAGGCTGAAATGGTGATGGTGATGCAATAACTAACTCCATCCACAGTATTTACACTTCTTTTCCCCGGACAGCATAGACTAGAGCTATGAAGAGCTGGTGGAAACAAAATAAAGCATTTTAGCAAGTGTGTAACATTCCTACAAACTCCTGGAGTTCTTTGAGAGCCGCTGGCTGCTTGTGCAGATGATTCCTGACTGGTTTAAGTTGGTTTCTCTGGGGCATGCTGCCCAAAAAGTCAAAGAACTCTTTCCAAATCTTAATGAAGATTTAAAACCTCTCTGGGAGGCAGACTGAGTGATCCTGACACGCTCTTCATGTCCCAGGCCCCTTTCAGGACATCCCAGCTGCTTTAGATACATAGTGGGATGTGCAATAACTGGGCAGTCATTATGTGTGTATAGGGCTGTACTACAGACCTTGAAGAATTGCTCCACGGAAATGTCTTGGAAGGATCAAAACCTGATTTATCATTGGACTTGTGATTTTATCTTATATTGATATTTATATTATTGGACCTGGTTTTAGATAGTCCAGAGGAAAAGTGTCCAAAGAGTCTGAGAAGAACAAACACCCCCACTTATGGTATTCTGGTTTAATTCTCTAATACCCTTCAGTACTGAGGAGTGTAAGTAAGCAGTACACCCTGGTTAACCCAATAGCCAAAATTCAGTTTGTGGCTTACTTGAAATAGAAAGTGGTTTCCTTCTGAATGTCAGCATTTCCCTAACAGGAACAACACAAGACAATTTAACACACACACACACACACACACACACACACAAACACACACACACCAGTTTTGGCCACTTTAGAAAAGCAAGCTAAAATGTTCTTCATACCACAGGTAAGGAAGTTGCTCATGTCGACTTCAACAGGTCCAGGATTTTCCCTGTGATTTCTAACCTGAAATTGCTGCTTCTTGAAGTGTAAGAAAAGGCCTTGCGTGGAATCAGCTTTTCTACTGCATTATGAGTAATACCCACAGCTTTTATTTTACATCTCAGCGATAGAACTTCCTTGTAAATAAGGGTTATTCCCACTAAAAGGCTA